GTTGATTCAGCCGCAGACTTTCCATCGGGAACAAAAATTCGAGTATAATTAACACGAATAGTATTTTGACTTCGTTTCCCCATGACTTTGAATCCGTAGTTTGTTATAGAGAAGTTCAGTTTATTCAGAACATCTATTCCTATTATTATAGAATTACACAGATCACCTTCTACCACGTAAATATTTGCAGGAAGAGAGTATTCGTCAATCTTTATTTCACTTTCGAAGAAACCTAACGGAGAAATACTATTCCCATCTAATCCAATTAAAGATGCACCATCTGAGTTTAATTTCGGAGTCCCTACTTTATCATAAAAATGCCTTGGTATCATCGTTACGTCCGACCCGGTGTCGATGAGTCCTTTTGTTTTTGCACCTAGGATTTCAACATCCGTTTCAATTTTGTTGTTACATCTAGAGAAATGACTTAGTTCCATTTTGTTTACTTCTTTTTGAGGACAAGCGTTAGCTTTATGGCCGAATTTTTTGCACTTAAAGCATGTAATACAGGGGTGGCCAACCTTTTGCATACCATGCGCCAATTTTTTGACAGACGAGTTCAAATGCACCATATAACTCGAACACTTTTTATACAGTCTTACGTTCAATGTTAGGGGTTGATAAATAGACATAAGAATAAATCTGCTTCGCTTAGGAAAGAAAAGGGAATAACTTAATCACGCAGTTGAATTAATTAATTTATGACAGTTTATTGAAGCACCAATTTACAATAGTCAACAATGATCTCCTGTACGAGAGGGTAATTGCTTGATGATGATGCTATAGCTGCCAGAGTCTTGTTTGGTGAAGATTACTCTGCACCATAATTATTGGCACTGAGAATGAGATCAGCTTGGAATAACTTTAATCACAATAAATGTTTTCGGCCATTTACACGCCTTTAAACTGATCAGAAATAAAGATCGCAAGACTCAAAATACNCACTTTCGAAGAAACCTAACGGAGAAATACTATTCCCATCTAATCCAATTAAAGATGCACCATCTGAGTTTAATTTCGGAGTCCCTACTTTATCATAAAAATGCCTTGGTATCATCGTTACGTCCGACCCGGTGTCGATGAGTCCTTTTGTTTTTGCACCTAGGATTTCAACATCCGTTTCAATTTTGTTGTTACATCTAGAGAAATGACTTAGTTCCATTTTGTTTACTTCTTTTTGAGGACAAGCGTTAGCTTTATGGCCGAATTTTTTGCACTTAAAACATCTAATACCTTCGGATTTATACGAGCAATTACTCGAAATGTGACCAATTTCATTACAATTAAAACATTTGAGAGTTTTACTGACACGCTTATTTCGATAAGGCTGGGGTTTTCGATGCTCTGTAGTTAGATTCGGTTTAGACTGAAACGAACGAGAATATGTAGACCGGATCTTCTCATATACTCTCAACTTTTCACGAAATTCTGTCAAATTATCTGTTCCATATAACATCGCTTTGTTACTGGTTATGTCACGTATACCAGAAATAACATATTCGATCAACCCGTCAGGCTCAATTTTTCCACGACTAGCGAGTTCTTGCATTTTAAAGAAATATTCTTGCACGGATTCATTGGGGAGCATTTGTGAGGCTCTGGACAGGTCCGAACTCTCACTAAAATTCGCGTTAAAATAATTGTTTTAAAGAAAAAAATATAGTAGTTAGAGATAGATTTTTATTTTATGAAAACGCGACGCTAGACAATAGAAGACTTTTAAACAATAGAAGAATGTAAGTCTGTCGATCATATCCGGTGGGAGATCGAATTAAACTTCGATTTTGACCTCTCCCGCGCCCCCGAAAGGTTTCGAATTGTCATCAGGTGACGAGGAGAGACCAATCGGAAAGGGAAATCTGAAAGAAAACGGATAAAACCCCGAAAATTCAATGACGCGACGGCTTCTTCTCCCGAAAGTTCCAAGTGACTGACCTGTTGTTGTGTGTGTGTGTCTCACACCCATCTTCGTCTCCATCTCCCGATCTCCGATCGACATCTTTCCATCAACGGAAGTCGACCGCATCATCCGGAGTCGTCCAGACGTCGATGGAGTGGTTCATTCGCGAACAAGGGACACTCCTTCAAAATGGGACTATCTTGGAAAGGAAAGGAAGACCCAGAGGCCGCAACCGCCGCAGAACTTCCAAGATCGCGGAATTCTTGTAAGCTTCTTTCGTGTTTAATAAACGGTTGTGTTGTTTGTAAACGAAGCATCTATCTCTGACTCAACTGCTTCCACACGTCGTTGATTGTTACCGCTCGGCAATCCAAATTGCCAAATTCCGCTTTTAATTCCGATTTCAATTTATCCCAGGAATTAATACCACTTTGACTTTCAACAAATAGTTTCGCTAACCCTGTTAAGAATTGTTTCGCAAATATAAATTTATGTAAATCAGACAAAGTCATCATTTTAGCAAAGTCTTCGAATGCAACTAGCCATTTATCGATAGAACAATATTCACTACCATCGAAAGGTTTGATTACGTTTTTTACGTCATGAAAGTTAATGGAAAGTTTAGTCATATCCGAAACACGCAGACAATTATTGCTAGGTGGATCATCAACAACAGTTTGAACTTCTAGTACATCTTCGTCTTCGGTATCAACATCTGCCAAGAGCAGATTTGATTGTAATGATTTTAAATCAGAAAGAGAAAGAACAAGCCTTTCGACGATTTCGTCTTTATTACGTCATATTGAACATTTAATAAGTTGCACAAAACAACTAGGTCGTTTAATCGAAAGTTCTCATTAATATATTGCACTTTGTTTTTTAGGTTTTCGTCCTCTTTGGATGGAAAATTGAATCCACCAAAGGTTCTTAATCTTTTTCTGTTATTCCTATCTCCAACCTCTTCGAATACAAGTTGATGCAACCATTTTATCCAACTTGTCGAGGCCGACTTTAGTGTTTCGCCGATAATTTCTACGAGCGTCGCCATCTTAAAAGTAGAATTTTAAAACTAATCACAGTTTGCCGAAACGTAAGTCGAAGTCCTTCCGGAATGCCGATGTATTTGGACTCTCCAACGTCGAAATTTTCACAAAAACAGAAATGTCCGTAAATGTCCAGAGTACTCACAAAACCAAAGCGCAGTTCGTCAAATCTCCTCGAGTTAAGCCTAATCCACATACGAGCCTATTCCTATCCCGGGCGATCCCCCACTTCTGTCAGACTTTTCTTTGCTTTTTGAAAAAACTTTAATTGAGGTAAGAAAGATGTGGATAACAGGAACGTTTTAAGGAATACAAATTACAGAAAAAAATATTGTGATTATTATAAAAAAAAAACAAATGTAGGACTTCTTTCTCGTCTTTCGTCTTTTCGCGCGTCCTTCTTCAACCATCGTCCCCTCTCGCGAAGTCGCGTCTCGTCCCGCTCTCGTCGTCTCGCCGGCAGATGGCGTTTCGCTCTCCACACGAATGATTTTCAATTTAATCAATTTTCTGCAACGTTTACAATCGTTCTATAATTGAACCAATATGCAATAACAAATTCGAATTTAAAACGGTTCGAACATTTTTAAAATCGAAATAGATAAAAATATTTATAACCATGATCGAAATGTTATCAATTTAATACACCTAAGTACTCGATGAAGACTAAACGTACAGTACTTGAATACTAAAATAGTACAGTAGAAGCCGTTCTTCCAGTTAAGCCTTAACTTTCTCCCTCTTCCCCCTGCGAGGGAATTTCGAAAATCCCTTCTTAATGTACGATTTCATGACGAACTCTAACTGTCTACCAAATTTCACCTCATGGCGTTCAACGGTTTGCTCCGGGCGATGATGAATCGGTCATTCAGTCAGTCAGAAAAACTATTTTTGTATGTTTTGATACAAAATTGTTGCCTTTGATTTGTAATTCTTCCCCAACACACAATGTAACGATTTACAAACGCATGGGGAAACAAAAACATTTTAAACTATAGCATAGAAAAAGCTATAAAGTAAAAAAAAATTTAAAAAATACTTTTAACATTATAATTCTAAACATATTATTAAAGGAACCATGCCCTATTAAAAATTGCTAAACGAGGCCTACGTAACCAACTAAGTCCAGTTATGTAGTTATGTAGCCTCGAATTAAGTAATAATACACGGCGCCTAACACCTGCCTCTAGTGTATTAAGTTTTATTTATTTCCATCTTTGATTTCTTTATTTATTCGCAATTTAACAGGAATTATTGTGATAGGTACGACTAATAGTATCTTATATTAATAGGAAATCTTAAGTGTATGACGCAATGCGCCCGGAGTAGGTGACACGAATCGTGGTAAACGCCGTCTTCATTATTGTCGACTAAAACCGGTGTTCAATTAGTAAATAATTCGCCGAAATTTTTAAGCCGCATTCAATTAATTCATTAAAAACTCAAATTTATTTTAGAATCCTAAAAAACAGAAATGTTTATTGTGGTTGTTTGCTAGACCAGAACGACATTTTCAATATTTGACTTGAACCGATGCCAAGAAGTTAATCATCTTGCCAGTCGAAGGAAAAATATAAAATTTAGTCATTTAATAAAATTTCTTCTGTAGGGTTGAAGCGAAAGTTAAAAGAAATATTTGTAAAAATAAAGTACAATATTAAAATTTCTGTTAATTCCTGTACATTGTATCTATTCGCATTCTTCTTCTGTTAACTGAAGTATTACAGAAAATTTAAATAGAAAAAATTATTCATTGCAAAAGTCTGTTTAAAACACGAATAAGAAAAACACTTTTGTCACTAATTAAAATTATATCCAAGAGAAAGAGGAAAGAATTAGTCGTAGCGAATAAATTCAAAACAATTTCGTAACAAATAGTCTAAAATAAATTATAATTTACAAGTAAACAATAACATAACACGTACATTTCGGCGTTTACTTCAAATTTTCTGCTTTTTTCGAAGTAATATTAAAACAATAGACTAGATTTTAATTAAGGTACAAACGATTTTATTTACTCAAATCTTTATTCTTTTTTGACTGCGATTTACTTTTTACTTTATAAGTTATTAAATTGCGAAAAATGGTGGCGTTATATGTTACGATATTTTATTATTAAAAATTTTTATAATTTTAAATATTATAAAATTCCAAAAAGCTTAATTTTGACCGTGTGGATGCCATTTTAATCATCATTATGTCGGACCCTACTGGAGATTCACACGACTTCTTCTATCTTCTCACTTCGTCGACCTTTAANAATAGCATCGATCTCAATAATAAACAAACTTCCCTATGAAATACAGGAATTTTCGACAAAAAGCACAAGAGTTATTAATTAAGCTTCAACAGTGCCGTAACTAGGCAGGTGCAACAGGTGCACCCGTGCAGGGCTCACTTGGAAGGGGGGCCAAAATGTATGTATTTGGTTTAATATATAATCTTGTATAAGACGCTACAATAAAAATCCGAGAGATTATTTAATCTATCTAATCTACGAATTTTCGTAGATTTTTAATTACGTCTCAAGAAAGGATTTAATTTCGAATTTCAAAATCTCACCTGAAAATTCGTCGGAGCCGATTCAATAATCGATACGATCAATGCGTGACAGAAAAAATAAGTGAAGGAAATGAGTGTTTTCGCACATTTCCTTCACTGACCACAGCTACCAGAACCGGTTTGGCTAAATTTACAATTTAAATTTGTATAAAATAAAAACAAAAATTCTTGAAAAGCCGTGGAACACGCGCGTTTATGTTCAAGTTTTCTTCTGTTATTTACGAATTACAATACTAAATTTCTTTTAATTGTTAGCATTGTTTATGCCACCCACCCACGAACAAATGTACTTTTTACATCTTATACAGATCAACTGTTCGTCCAACAATTTTCATAACTAGGAAATCGTTACGAGAAAATTTTACTACAACTAATCACCTGATTTATTAGGTATTTTCTTTGAAAACGAAACCGACCAATATAGGTGTTTTCCATTTCTGCTTGATAAGTTAGCACGAATGTAGTAACACGCTTCTAACCTTCTGCCTAAAGCCCTGTTTAAAACACGAGGTTCGAACACGCGCGTGTCGGACATCATAACCGACAAAAACGTGTCACGGGACTTGTTAAAATTACATAATTATATCGATATTGAGCATGCTCGATGTGACAACTTGACACATTTTATGAGTTTTCTTAAGTACTGTATTGACGAAATCTACGAAACAATGTTTTAATTACTTTATTTTTGTTTATGTTTTTAATTATTACGACAGATATTTTGACAAACAAAATGCGTTTCAGAAGATATACGAGGTTACTGTACTCTTATACAAGCCTTCGGTACCTAACAAATCATCCCCCTATTGCGTCATAGCTGTAAATGGCAACACAAATATAAAATAAAAATTTTAAAATAAAGAGTTTCAAAGATAAAATAGATTTACACCCGTTTTTAGAAAGGTTTTTTTAATTTATACATTTCTTCTCTGGACGTATGTTTGTTTGTATAGGGTAAAAGTTTGAAATAAATTTGTAAATTTATTTAGCAAAAAGAAGATATAATATTAGTATGGAACTTGATTTACACCAAAGTACTACAAAGTTATAATATCGAATACAATATATGAATACTGTTAAAAT